CCGCGGATATCACCGAGCGGCCGAGAGCGGCGGTTGGCAGCGGCCACGGTCGCCCGCGAGGCAAAAACGATGGAAGGACGGCAGACGTTGCACCCTGGCGGCGAACACACGTAGACGTGGCCGGGAACCGGGCCGTGCATCACATGTGGAGCCTTTTGTGGGATATCGTTAGATGAGGTTTTGCAATATCATCAGATGTTTGCGCATTGTTGCGCGTTGTGGAGATATAGCAAGGCCATGCAGGGCCCACGTTTGAGGGTGTCTAATAAAAGCCCTCTAGAGGTTAAGGGGTGTCCATTAACCACGGGCCCTGGTGTAGCTGCTTCTGTCATGTCTGCAGTTTCTACTTGGCCCCTTGCTGTCCCGCAAACCGCCACGTTCCTTGGGATCCGATCTGGGCAGTGGATATCTGCCAAAAGCTTTGATCAGCGCAAGACGACCACGAATTGGAGACGGCTAAAGGGATGGACTGGTCATGATGCTATTGATTTGTCATATCTTCCACCCCCGTGGGACATATTCACATCTCTTCCACATCTGGGGCAACATCGAACAGTTCGACAGTTCCACAAGGCTTCGTTCTATTCCCAGAGTGGGTGCTTTGAGATGCATTGCGCGGTTTACTTCCATCACAAAGACAGCCAATTCAACCCCATTCAACAAAGAGAAGACAACCTCCGTGTTGTTCTCTTCGTTATACCTGGATCTTCAAACCAATGAGAAAATGTCTGCCTTTTGGCTGGCTTTATAGATGTCACACACCGAAATAGTGCACATTTAGAACATCTATAGGATTCTAGAGGTATGATCTCTCTCCAATGGATGACTCCTATACAGGTAGCCAAGTGGCCGAAATGGACGTCTCCCCCTTAGCCCTTAGGAGCCTTACAGTATAACTTATACCGGCGAAAAAAAAAGAAAAAAAAGAAACAGGACGACATGGTGCGAAGAATTCACGGACGACATGGTCGGCTCCAGTCGCCTCCTCTCAATCTCTCGGATCAAATGGAGGTACTTTGGGGTGAAGATATTGTCACCTCGAAATCTCTCGTCGACGCCACGAGTACCGATCCAGGCATCGACCACTCTCCCTCACTCTGACTCACCCAATTCGGTGCGTGCTTTTTGGTGAACGGCGAGAGCTGCGAAAACGGACGGCTTCCATTGTGGGCAAGATTCGGGGTATTTTACGGATCCCAAATGGAAGAACGGCTGTACTGGTATTCCCGGAGTTTCTTCCAAAATACTGGGGATTCTATTCTAGTACAGTACTCTGATGTACTCTGTACATCTCTTTACTAAACCAGCACAAGGCCCCTGTGCTTTTGCCACCAGTCAATCTCCGGTCAGACCCCTTTTCTGTAGATTGAGGTCACGTTCGAAGGTCGACCTGATTTGGGTCACAAACGACTGAACCACTTCGGTCCCGAACTGAAGAAGGTAGCCACTCGGACGCGTAGCGACTCACGCGACTTAAGACTCGTCTGAACTGTCCCATGGACCACCGTCCCATGGACCGTCCCGTGGACCGAGCGACGTTCAAATCAGAGTTACCAGGACCGAAACCAAGAGGTGTCTATAAAGGACCGCCTATTTTAGAGGTGAGGAACGGGGTGTCCAAAAATCATCCGGACTTGGAAGTTGCTGGTGGATTCCTCATGATTCCTCTGTTTTAGCCATTGATTGTCGATGCTTAGCCTTGGAGGGTTTGGCGACAGCCACCTGAACTCGCCTTGTCAAAGCCTCACCCACCCTAGAAGGCCCCATGGGCCCAGCAACGAGCCGGTGTGTTTGGCATGCCTTCTTTCCACATGTGTCGATCTACAATGTGGTTAACCTTGGACCAAACACCCAGCAGCACCGAAGGCCATGGGTGTTCGGTCATCTGTTGCTGATGACCCCGGCTTCCGATGGCTTCCCCCTCTTCACATGCAGGGCCCATCTTCGCATCCGAAGACCCAAACGAGACAGATGGACCCTATGGGGCTGCAATAGTTGCCAATCAGGCCAGGGTGGATTTGGGGGGTCAATGCATACCAGGGCCCCCTAAATGGGGGTTAATGGATACCCCTTAACCTCTAAGAAGCTGTAATTGGACACCCCTTAGGGGGCCCTGGTAGGCATATATAGTCCATGGGGTGTATGGGTAAGGATCTTCCAAGGCCCCCCCGACCGTCTCCAGTGGCGTAGATTAAACGCACAAAGTATTTGGCCACAGAGCGTTCCTGCCAAACAATTGCCAGGCGCGCACATCACATGAAGATTTCCTGCAAAAGTTTAAGACTCGTCTAGTTTTGCAGAGATGTGTCTGAACATCATGCTAGCTATGCCTATCTACTATCATAGGGTGCCTGACCCCATGGCAAATTGAAATATATATGAACGGAATCCGTGAGCCACACCGGTATCAAGTGTAGTCGCGCGTAGAAAGATCCTTGGTTTCTGGTGGGAGAATAGTTTCACCACTGGTGACCAGTGGTGACCACTGACCACGACAATCCTTTGATTCTGTCCGAGGGAAAGGAGAACTGACCAAGACATCTCCAAGAACTTGTATGAAGCATAGTACCTTACCAAACTGACTGGCCACCTCTCTGATAGGTCTCTCACCCTGATATAGACGCTGAATCTAAAGATGTTATGCATCAGAACAATACAAACGATCAAAGCGGAGAACAGACTGGAGTTGGCCATGGATCAAAACTTGGAGCTCGCTTCACCCTGGTAGGTTGACCTCAGCCAGGTAGGTCAACCGGTCCCGGTCTGTCAGAAGGGACTCCTGAAGCTGGAGTCCACATGCAGCGATTGCCCCCGTTTTTCGTGCTCTTTTTCGTCAAAACGACCGGTCCAGCGTGGACCGGTCCGCTACCACGTGGCGGACGCCGGCGACCCCGGCGAACGCCGGTCCCGTGGCACTTGCAAGAGCCGACCATGGGGGTGAGCAGCCTGCGTGGGGGGCCGTGACATGGCGGGGGGGCTCCGGAAAGCGGAAAAGGAAGCTCGCCATGGGCTTGGTGGGAGATTTAGGGTCAGACACTCCATGGGACTGGCATATTTACCTATCAATTGGGGTGGTTTTAGGGGTCAATGAAGGTAAATATGCCATACATGGAGTGTTTGGGTTGTTTGGTTGAAGAACCACGAAAGAACTACCAGGACCATCCTGTCTGGGTGTCATTGGTTGGAGAATCCTTGTGTAGAGCAATCTATTGGAGCCCGTCACACACGAAACACCGATCCTGTTTGGGGGAAGAACAAGCAGGGCTTCAGGCCAGAAACAAAAGTCTGGGGGCTCACCGGTGTTTATCGCGAGTCTCCAACTTGGTCCCTTTCACGTTGAAAGTCACAATCAAATACATTCCTTTTTACACAGAAAGCCACAACTTCTCCGTCAAGATTCGATCTAAGATGGGCTTTGAAGATGGCTGAAATATTTGGAGGGCAACTGAAACTCGAGGATGTGTCTTCTCTCTTTCCCAGTTTAGATCAAGAACCTATCTAAAATCACTACAGGCACACCCCTGGAAAGAACACATCCGGTCGAATGCCAACGATTGCGATCCCAAACCGATAGTGTGAACTCAAACCGATGGATAGATATGGATACCTGATACATCAGCTGTACTGTTTCAGACTGCCAGGCCGCCATGGAAAGGCCCCTTGAACAACAATTGCTTGGTCTGAGCCCTGCTGACTGCTCCGCTGCTCCATGCTACTCCCCTTGCTGAATCTTTCTGAGAGATCAGCCCAGATTCAACATCACTGCTCACTCCAGCGTCCATACACTTAAATACGTCAAACATATTCAACCCTTGTCAGCCCGACCATATCTCTTGTGACAAAGAACGAAATGAAAAGCCCACTTCTGTGGCGGATCCCATGGAGGATGTCCTCCAGCTCGCTCCTCACCCCGTGTTCTTCTCCGGAAAACCGGGTGCCCCAGTGGTGGCCCCCCCCCCCTTTTTTCGGCTGGAACGTTGGGTCGAGGAAGAACCAACTGCCTGGCAGGTCGAGGAAGAACGGCTGTTCGGCCTCGCACCATGCATCTGCCATGAGACTCAAGCTAACAGCACTGATTGGAGTGAGGGTTCTGCAACGTCTCTTCGGTTTTTCTTGGCTGGCAGTGTCCACATCGATATGGGTCATGGACACGTGAGGGTTGTTTCCGCTGTTTCACTTGATGTTTGTTCGGAACAGGTCAAGGGGGTCTCATCACTGGTCTCATCATATTGGGCACACAAACGCCTGAATCGTGTGAAAGCAACGGAATCAGCTCCCAGAAGCGGGTTGGCTTTCGGGAGCCAAATCTTCCACTAGAATTCTACTAAGGCTTATATACTAAGGTCAGGTATACACAACCACATTGCCTCATGAGTTCCCTGGAAAACGGCGAACGGAACAAAGGAACATGATGGAACATGATACTTTGATTGCGATCAAGTCTCCACAAACTGGTGGACTATTGTTTTTGTTTGTTTTTGCATAAATATGTCTGCAAAAAGGTTGTCCACGATGAACCACGTTGTAATCTGTTTAATTCAGATCCCAACTCTCTGACCCTACGCATCTTTCTTCTTCGCGACTGCCAGCTCCATGGCAACCCAGAGCTGTAGCGGACATTGCAGGAGGCCATGGGCCTTTGGCCCATCTCGGCACGAGCATGTTTCATTTATCTTGGAAGCCGTCACAGCTCCAAATGGACGTGGTGAGTCGGCAACAGGATTACGGCCCATCTCGGCCTGTCGCAGGCAGCGCAGTGGATCCGAACATCAAAGGTCCTTCACAGCGACACCGCGCAGTGCCAGTGCACCAGGGTGAGCCACCCTGCCAGTCACTGTGAGAAGAACTCACCACTAAACTCATGCGGCATGGCGAACTGGCTAACCTTGTTTTGAAAGCTGCACTGGCTAGCCATCCAAGGCTCTCTACTCCTAACCTTCACATGTCTATTTCCATCGACCTCCAGGAGGCCTTCGTTTCCTTTCAACCCTCCCCTCGCCTCACCGTCGCACCATCGGACCTCCGTCCTCCGCCGGAATTCCGGCTTGGAGCCTCCGTCCGGGCTCCGGCCGCGCGAGACGTGGAGGTTTGGACCTCCTTTTGTGCTCAAAAGTGAGACGATTTTACAGGTCTGTTGGACCTCCTACAGGTTTGGACCTCCTTTTACCAGGTCAGGCCTGGTCAGGTGAGGGACCCAACTGGGAACTGACTAACACGACTCGAGCGACTGGTCACCTGACTGACTGACTCACCTCGAGGAGCTGACTGACTGGACCGTCCAGGAGCGACGGACATGAACGACCTCCTGACCTGGAGCGGTTTTTTTCTGGGAAAAAACATGGTGGGACACTACTCATACTGTGTCCGGCTGGGACCAAACTGGATCGAAGCAGCAAACAAGAACAACAGTTTGCAATGATGTTTGATAAGTGAAGTTAAGTTAAGGTGTGTTGTTTTTCTTGAGGTCAAAATAGATCTCAATCGTACTTTTGGACATTTTTGGACTGGAAGGGTCTCGCCTGGTAATCAGACTCCACTTGGTCTCCACACAAAAGGCCTGCCTATGCCTATAATATGTGTCTTCGACCTCTCTCCCTCTCTCGTGGCCTGCTCTGTGTCATCTCTGCCAAGAGCATCTCCAGCTGCTTCCTGTCACCTGGAGCCAGTCGATCGGACCAGGCGACCAAACCTGGTCTTTCGAAGGAGATTCTGTGTTGAAATAGGGAGACCTCTGAGGCAACGACCCCACTGGAAGAAAGGAATATTGACTCCAAAAAAGAACCATTAGTTGGAGACCTCCCTACTGGAATTTCATGTGACTTATTGATTCGGCGCATGGAGAATACCTTGTGGCCAAAAGGAGATGACCTCCATCTTCGTCGACCCGCCGAACGCGACCCAATCGTGACCCATCGAGCTTTCACTGTCTGACCCGAAGAACGTGACGGCATTTCCACCGAAGCAAAGCCGGATGATTTAGCCGGTTTGTGTTGGAACACAACACCCTTTGGAGAGGGCACATCACCTCTTCGATTGACTGGCCGGGGCCTGCAGCTTTCACCGCACGCAAGGCTGTCGCATAGCAAATGAGGTTCGGTGCAATCCTCTCCTCGCAGGAACCAGTGGTCACTCGACAAGGAAGAAGGATGACTGCTTCTGAGATCCCCTCAATTTCTCTCGGATGAAGGTTTCTTTCGGGCGTTGGGCACGGGACCTCAGTCCTCAAAATTGTGAATCATGATGTAACCATGCATGATGAACCCTACATTTCCAAATGCGATGTTTAACATAGCATTTCATCAAATACGAAGTTTAGCATAGTATTTACGGAGATACGATGTGTAACCTGCAAATGCAATGTTTGACCTCCCATCCCATATCAACATGTTCTGGTGAAGACAAGGTGTCCCCACTGACTCCTCGTAGTTTTTACCTTTTTCAATCACTTCTCTAAGCAAACACTCCATGACCAGTCCTAATAGGCTGATACTGTTCCCAGAATTCTATTAATAGCAAAGCTGCCCTCACAAGTCCTGATGTCAAGCCAGTATATTGGGCAGTTCACCTGTTCTCCCTCCGTGATCTATCACATCCGGCCACAAAGCAGTCCAGGACTTTGCCAGGGGTGTGGAGGAAACAGGGTCCCTGATTTCACGGTTAAACATGGTATTTCACGTGTAAACTTCGCATTTCACGCTCATTTCACGCTCATTTCACGGTACTTCACGTTTGAGGTTTCTAAGATCCAACTCCACGTTTGACCTGTTCCTAAAGTTCTTCTGGACCAGTTGATTGAATTTGGCAACTTCGTAGCCATGGAGCTCACCGGCCCTGGCGAAGAAATCCGTTCGAACCATTTGTTGTGTCTTAAGATATGCGATCTCTCAATTTATACCCTGCAACACATCAGAAACACAGCAAAGCTCCTTTCTTTTAATGTCTCAAGCTTTGGTTGGATATAAGGTCTTTTTTGGCCCTGGAGCACTGCAGACTGGCACAAGGTATGCAGGCTCTGAGGGCTGCGGGCCCTTTTTATGAAATGCGATGTTTAACGGGCCAAACATAATATTTGGTAAATACAAAATTAAACTTCAACTTTGAAGTGTAGGGTGAATATTGACAGCGCTTCGCGCTCGAAGCCGCCCGCACGGAGTGCGTCTGTCTGTCTCGGTCGATCTGTCTCGGTCGGGCAGGACACACGGACGAACACACCCATGATGTCAAAAATGCACTCTCTTCCGGGCTGCATATTCGGCATTGCAATTGCTTGGTCGGAAGCCATATCAATGTTTATCAATCTGCAAAAAAAACATCGAAAACACCATTTTCACAACATCGCAGGGCGTGCGTGAGCCTCCACAAGGCCTCGGCCCCTTCAGTGCGGGCGGATTATGTATCACATAATTCTATAATAAGTTCGCCGCTCTAAGAACAAGCTGGTTGTTTTCTCGCACACAAAAGGGCTACGGTTCAAGCCCTCAAGTACATCTATGTTCAACTCTCATGAAATGCCGTGCCAATCTTCAAGCTCCCCCCTCCCGAATTCGTCGGGGAAAGCCGGCACGGCTAGGGTTCCAAAAGTAATCTCAAGCCCCTTCGTGGATAGGCTCCAGAGACTGACTCTAAGCTGAGAATGCTATGTGCAGCAAAACCACAAACATCAAGCATCACCGTCCATTCCCCTTTGAATGGAAGTGGAAGGAAAAAAAACTTCACACACAACTAAAGCTCTCTCAGCGGGCCACCCTCGACCTCCACATTCTCATTTTCAGCGCGTGCTCCTGGAGGTGCCCTGCCATGAGAAAAACAGGCTGACTCCCTTCCATTGGGATTTGAGATAGCACATTGCTCTGCTACCTCGGCGGTTGTCCACCCGGGCAAACATCAAGCCATCCTCCATCCAGCCCAACGTGACTACGCCAGCCGTGATACCACTCGACGGTGGTGGAGCTGCGACTTCTGTGTCGAAGAGCTTTTTGCGCCAGGTGGAGTGTTTGTGGACTCTCACTAGGATGGTGCCGTTCTGAACTGGTTGAAAAAAGGTCCTTGAAGAGCCGTGAAGTCCATCAGGATTGAGCTCTTGTAGGAGATCTTCCGGAAACATCCACCGGAACTGCCGCAGTTCCTGGCGCTTCAAACGCATCACAAACTCCCTCATACTCTCTCCCTGATTGGAGGTGAAGATGCCATCAAAGAACACATGGTGCGGGGTCACATCCGATAGATCATCTCTACTACCAGCCCCACCCTCGTTCTCTGCAATGAAGTCCGGGTTCGGTTCTGATTGGAGTTGCGAGAGGCTTCTCACTGCCACCCCCGTGCTACCAAAACCTTCTTCTCCTCGTAGGGTTTGGGTCAAAACCTCAGTACCTTGGAGGTTCACCTTGGCATACTTTTCAAGGATGAGCTGCCCCACGCGATCACCAGGGCAAACTGACAAGCTCTCTTGACCATTGTTGACCAAAATGATCTTGACCTCTCCTCTAAAATCAGGATCAATGACTCCTCCGACCACATCAATGCCCCGGAGTGCAAACGAACTTCTGGAAGCGATCCGGCCATAGCAACCACTTGGCATTTCTATAGCCAATCCAAGGGGCACCAACTTCCGCTCACCCGGAAGGATCTCAACGGATGCCGCAGCGGCTAAATCCCAACCAGCTGCTTCAGGTGTAGCCATTGATGGCAAAGATGCGTGGTCGCTCAAGAGCCTCACCTTCAGCCGTTCCGGCTGGTTGAACAATCTCTTCGCGAGATCCCAGCCCATCTCCTTGATGAAGTGGAGCAAACATACCAACCCTGCCAGCATCAGCATCCAGCCCACCTCCAGCCACGAGCCTGATTCGACCTCCCCCCTGGTCTCCTTTATCTCACACTCCTCAGCAGATTGAGCGCCTGGGATCATAGCAGCGCCTGCCGCCAGCAAGGACAACGATTTGAGCACCTTGACATTCACAGGCGTTGAGACCTCGACAGCTTCTCGTTGACCCCCCTGATCATCAGACCCCAGTGAAGGGTCACCGAGCCATATGCCACGACAGAACCTGCTGATTTGTTGTGCCGGAAGCGGCTTTGTCAGACCATCGGCCCAAAGAGAGGTGCCCACACGATGGTTTAAGGTCAATTCCCCCACCTTCACTGCCTCCGCCAAGCAGCTAGCTCTGATGCGCAAATGCCTGGTTCGCCAGCCACCACCAGATCCAGAAGCCAATACGACGGCCGCTCTGTTGTCATTGTACAACTCCAGCTGAACACCGTCCTGCAGCAACTCGATCAAAGAACGGACAGATCTGCCGGTCTGTAGGCCCTCAACTAAAGCCGTGAGTTCTGCTTCAGCCGTGGAGAGAGCCATCAAACTTTGCTTTCGACTCTCCCATTGCACAGGACAACCGGCCAGCAGAATGACTGTCCCAGAAACACTGTGCCCATCGCCAGGGCAGAAAGATGCATCTACAAGAACCTCCACAGTTCCAGCTTGACGGGGTTGACTTCTTCGGAGATCCGCATCGGAGTCCTGAGGAACTTCTTTGGTGTACAAGAGGCCATAGGTCAAGGAGAACTTGAGGTAGGCCACCACTGCGAGACCCAGCTCCACTGTCCACCTTGGCTTCTTCAGGGCGTTTTGTGCCATTTTCATAATGGCCCACGACAGGTCAGGGCGGGTTTTGCCCGAGAGCCAAAGAAGTTCACCAGTGATCTTCTGGGCCTCTCTTATCTTGGGAAGCGAAACAGCTTGCTCTTCCTGTGGCTCTTCCGGAATCCTGATGAAAGGTGAAGAAGTGCATCCAGCATGCCGATCGATGATCTCTTTTGCATAGCACTCCTGGTGGAGAAAGTAGGAGCCATCACCAAGTCTCTGGATTTCGATGCCCAAGAATCGCATAGATTGCCCCCCAACTGTGGCGTACTCCGGCGCCGACGTGGACCACTTTCCACGGATTGTCGAAGAAGCTGAATCCGTGACTTCCTTGGATGCCACCATCAGGATGTCATCCACATAGACGATCATGTGACCAAGCACCTGCCCCCACTGTCGTGTCCCATCAACAGCTGTGGTGAACTCTTGGATGGCCCATAGATTGGGATCTTCCATGGATCTGAATGCAAAGCAGCGTGGTTGACCATCACCCAGACTTTCAATAGAGCCCACCATCTTCACGAGCTCCGAGTCCCGAAACGAACTCCAGTCCCTCGGAGAGGTAACCAACCCATACATGGCTGAAGTAACCAACCAATGCTCGCCAGGTCGTGTCAACTTTGCTTCTTCCAGTATCTTGGGAGGACGAACGATGACAGTTTCGCCCTGGGCCTTTGGTGCCAGCAAAAAGGCTGACTTGACATCCAGTGAGAGACATTCCCAATGGCGAAGTGAAGCCAGTCGAAGAATCGTCCGCAGTTGCGTGGAGTCGGCACCTGTGGCATAGACTTCATCACCTGCTCGGGGCTCCATATGGTTGCCACAACAAACAATGCGGGCTCTTCTTCGACCATCTCCTGCTTTTCGGGTGAACACACCCATGCCTGGAATCAGCTCGGCTCTTTGACCCTTCTCCTTCGCCTCGGACATGATCTGGTCCACCTGCTCCTCCGTGATTCGCTGGATTGCCTTGTTGGAGTCAAAGTTATCGATTTCCGTCTGCAGTGGTGGGATCCAAAGTGGCAGCGAACGTCGAACCTCCTGCAAGCTGATGGTTCGAGTCTGCAAAAAGATCTCTTCCTCTTCTTCCGCCACCTTTGATGCCCCAGCCTCCAGCCTTCGACACAGGACTCCTTCGTCCGGCAACATCTCTTCAATCTTCTTATTCTCACAGTCCAGGTCGTAGACCAATGCCACCGAACCATCCTCCGCATTCAAGTTGGCTTCAAGATGGCTGAATTCCTCATTGGCCCATTCCTGACCTCGTAAGAGTCGAGCCTGAAGTTCCTCCGCCGAGACCTTGGACAGTGCCTTCTTCTCATACAGCCGTCGTTTTGGGACTGCGGCTCCATCAAGAATACTTGCAGGTTCAGATCTCTCCTTCACATTGACGACGTCCTCCAGAGAAGGTGGGTCTTCCGCCTGAGTAAGATCATCGGTCCTCACATACTTGCCCTTATCGATCTCAACGA